CACACGGGACTACAACATTTCCGCCTCCATCGGAAATGCAGCCGCCGCAGCCGGGATTCGATCCCACGACCTGCGGGTCAGCAGCGAGTACCTTATCCACTAGACCACCGCGGCGGGGCCAGCTTTACGACATAACGCACGAGATCAAGATAGGGCTGCGTAGCCGGAGCTGTCATACAGGTTTATTGTAATTATAATATTAACTTCTGGCATATCATAGGTCAAAACCACCGTGTGGTTATGAGGCACGTCGTACTGTCGAACTCCGGAATTTGACTACCTAGGGTACTTTAATGTGTACCTAAATGCCCTACTGTGGTGGTGCAGTGGCTGAGGTACTCGGCTGCTGACCCGCAGGTCGCGGCATCGAATCCCGGCGGTGGCGGCTGCATTTTTGATGGAGGAGAAAATGCTGTATATGTGCTACGATTTAGATTTGTACGTTAAGAACCTCAGGACGTCGAAATTACCGCAGCCTTCCGCTACGGCTTCTCTCATAATCATATGGTGGATTTGGAGGTTAAGCCCCACATATTAATCAAATTGATGTGTACCTAAATCTAAGCGCACAGTCGTTCTTGCCTTGAATTGGCTCCCGTCGAAATTCAGCCGCCATGGCCAGGATTCAAGCCCGAGGCCTTGAGCTTGGCAGCATGACACTTTACAAAGCTAAGCTGTCATGGCAGGTCATAAACTTGCGAACAAACCCGGTTTTTTTAATTCCCAGCCATGCCTGCTGGTCGACAAGTAACTTGTGTTTAATTAAAATCGAAATAAAATGTGATTATATTAGATAATAATAATAATAATAATAATAATAATAATAATAATAATAATAATAATAATCACTTCAGGGCTTTACATTATAAAACCACGATCTGATTATGAGAGACGTCGTAGAGGAAGGCTCCGGAAATTTGGACCTTCTGGTGTTTTTTTTTTTTTGACGTGGGCTGACATCGCACAGCACACGTGTGCGTTTACCATTTCACCTGCATCGAAATTCAATCGCCCTGGCGGGCACCAAACTATATTACGAAAATTGACTGAAATAAATTCTTGTGGGCTGTACGTGCACATGTGTGTTGAAGGAATAAAAAGCCAGCGAACTCTGCTGACAACATAGGAGGCGAAAAACATTTGTCTCGAGCATTCACCCGATATAGCCTTACCTTCTTAAGTGGCCGGTTTTGCTAATACTATAGGTCCAGCAGCCGATATGTCTGAAATCTCATCTTACAAACAACTCTATCGTGAGAATGTTTTCAGCGCGTGGACCATGTTTCCTTCGTGACGTCAAGCGAGGGCCATTACCGGTGCTGATAGCCTTGAACAGAGCATGTCTTACGATAACAACTAAAAAAAAAGGGTACTCTACAAAATATGTGTGGTGGTTCATTTCCGCTCTTTAATTGCGTTTATTGCATAATGAGATATTTCGGCATGTCGGTCATACGCTATAATTGGTCTCTCTAGAAATGAGATACCAATCAGTTACCAACGTCAGTAGCCTCGCTCAGACGGCGGACACAGCACAGTGGTTGTCAGCACTTTTCAGATTTGTGATATAGTGGGCATAGTTTCTTGTCCCCGGGCCCAGAAAGAAACATAGAGATTAGCAGTACAGATGACCTCGTTTGATGTGCTAAATGAACGCCCACGTGTGCAGTGTGGTGCCCTCACAACAACGAACGGCTAATGACGCCTTTATTGCGGGAAGTACGTAATATCAGCATTTTCCAGAATTGCGAATGCGCCTCATAGATCGGTCGTCTTATGTTTGAGTGCTTGACTGCGCGACTGTTTTGTTCAGCACAGCTTGGTTGATAAAACAACTGTCACGATTTGCAGGAGCCATTTTTTTTTCGAACCGTTGTAGTGACTGGCCAAGCACATCATGCGTACAAACAGCGACTCGGCTCAGAGCGAACCTTTTCACCTAACAAGATGATCAACCCAAGCGTGGGAATCGGAAGTTCATTATAAAGTAATTGAAAGCCCTTCAGGACTTCTCTAAGTCGGTGCTATTTGTGATGATATTTGTGACTTGCATACTGCATCGCATGCATGTGTGCAAAGTGCCTTTGTGTGTCAATTGCTGGTGATCTGAGCTACAACGTTCGAACTTACCGAATGCAAGACTATTTTTTATTCTTACTTTTACGCCAGGAAAAAATGGGTAGTCATCACTTAGGAAATGGTGATAACTGATTCACTTATTTTCATTGAAAAAAAAAAACGAGTAGTGGCTGCTTCGTGAAACCAGTCACGCCACATTGGGTAAAAAAGGACATCCTGTACAATCTAGCCACCCCTACCGCGTAATTCTATTCCTTATTTATCGTCAACCCATCGCGAACATCGATTCAGGTGCCACATAGCCAGGCCGGGGCTCGGACCACTCATGCGTGGAACACACAAAACATCGCGTTTAGAAGCATCCTATTATAGGCTATGGTTAGTCGACTTCGTGGTGTGTAAACACCTGGTTTACTTTGCGTCTCCATAAAATAATTCATTTTACTTTCTCCGTTTCTTCTGGATAAGCTCAACGAAGCGACGTCAACGTGCACACGTAAGCCGACACTTCACGCGTTTCCGCTAAAGCACGTATATGCATCAGCTTTAAACGCACAAGAATGCAGTGAAGGCCTGAAAGCGAGACGCCTGAGGCAAGTCATAGCTGTTTATGCAGTGTCGGCCAAGTGAAAACTCACTTACACCACCGATTCACACATGCACAAACGTAAACATAAAGCATGAAGCTCGAAATAAAGGTGATATATAGTATATCCTAATGCTTATACCAGAAAATCTAAACACTTCAGGCCCCATCGTGGTACTCGGCTGCTAACCCACAGGTTGCGGGAACTAATCCCGGCTGCGGCGGCTGCATTTCCGATGGAGGCGGAAATGTTGTAGGCCCGTGTCTCAGATTTGGGTGCACGTTAAGGAACCCCAACTGGTCGAAATTTCCGGAGCCCTCCACTACGGCGCCTCTCATATTCATATGGTGGTTTTGTGACCTTAAACTCCACATATCAATCAATATAAACACTTCAGGACTTATTTACAGGAAACTGCGTAGTTGAAAAACAATCATTTCACGCTTGCAGTAGCGTTTGTTTGTATTGTCGCGGGGTCGTGACGCTAACGAATGCAGACACGGCTTGTCGAAAATAAACTGTTTATTTAGCCAAACTTGTGGCCGGTAAACGAAAAGTCTGATTACAGCTACACACACTGGCACTGATAGCGGCCAGCAGAGCGTCGGTCGTCGATCAGTAGACATTTACTTATTTACTCGTTCGTCTATTTCTTTGTTTGTTTGTTTTGTTTGTTTGTTTGTCCATTTACTTATTGTTAGTCACACTACATCAACGACAAGGGGCAGTTCTTCTCTCCGAAATCATGCAAATTTCGTCTTCGCTGCCTTTCTCATGCGAAGCAAAGACCATGCACATGCCTCAAGTGAACGAGTGCGCTCGCCTTTCCGCAGACCACGAGAAAAGAGTTCGTGTGTAACTTTGCCGTATGTTTGCGTTCCCACTACTCAGCGCCACCGCCAGCTTTCTTATGGAGCATTACTGACGTCGCACAAGAAGCCGACACGGTATAGCCTGTTCGCATGGTTTCGGCTAGGCTATACGGAAAAGCTTCGAAAGGCACGAGAAATCAGTTGGCGCATCGCGGCAAAGCGGGTATAGTTTACGGCTCTCTAATCGCTTAAGGACCTGCCGCAGTCCCCAGTAATGCGGTCGTTTGTATGCTCAACGGTCCGGACAAAAGCGGCAGATAATTAAGATAAGAAGTTGTTCGCCGGGGCGGTTGCGCTCTCCCGTGGCTTCCTTTCGCCATTTCTTTTTCTCTCTTCCCAGAAACCGGCGACACAAAAAAACTGGTTTTCTGGACGTTGCCGTGCAATGTCGCTTCTGCGGAGAGTAGAAGAAGCGAAGGCGACAAATGAAAAAAAAAAAAAAAAGCAAAAAGGCGAAGTGTACTGAGTCACAAGAAGGACCGCTAGCTGCGCTCGTTACTTTCGCCCTGTATCTTCGCGACGCTCCTTTCAATACTCAATACCATTGCCGCACTCCACGTATACTTTCTTCTCATCGAGAGCGAGTCGCCGCCTGGAGCAGGCGTGTCGCGGGCTTGTAGTAGGCGAGTCAGTCGGTATATATAAGCGCGATGGGAGGCTTTGATGACACGGGCTCCAGTGGCTGCTTCAGCTAAAAAGTATCAAGCAGTATCCTGCTAGACCAGGGTAGGTGAGGGAGGGATGCCATGCCCCAGCTGGCGGTTCTCTTTGAGGAACCGCGTGATTTTCGCCGGCGTCCACCGTTCGGCGTACATCACGCCGGGTGGCTCCCGCATCACCCGCAGCATCGGCCGCTCGCGCGCTCGGATACTTCTTGAATCCAAAGGGAAACAAGTGCGCTGCCTCTAGATGGAACACTAGAAGAAGTGTTTGCGCGGCCTAGATGCATGCGTAAAGCTTATTTGCCGCGCCTCTTGTTGGAAAGGGTCAGTTTTTCATGTCACATACGTGGTCTGTATAGAGTAAACTCAAACGGACCATCTATTTTTTTTATTTATTTCTTTGCTCCATTCAGGTTCGCTATGGCCTCAACTAGAGAAAGCCAGGACGATGCAGTGTCTTTAGCAATTGCAATTAAGTAACAGGAGAGCGAAACACTGGCTTTAGGGGTTCCTCATGGATTGGGGAAACACTCTCGAGAGGGACTCTTTTCTTTCTTTGCTCTTTAGTGAATTTATACGAATCTTTTGGTGCCATAGCCATCCAGTCGTCGAGTACACCGATGCAGTGTATAGATACGGAACATTTAGGCAGATGTTAAGTTACAGTGCACACCTCAAACAACTACTAAGAGCATACATATACAGCGTCACTATTTATGAAAATGATAATCGAGTGAGAAATGTCGCCGTTCACTGGCCCCAGTCGCAAAAACTGTACTGAGAGTAAGAGTTGTGCTCACCTCCACTTGGTCCTTCGATTCTGGAACCACGTTTTGACTTGGGCGTCGGTCATCTTGAGCTGTTTGGCAAGAGCTGCCCTTTCGGCACTGGCCAGGTACTTCTGCTTGTGAAAGCGCTTCTCGAGCTCACATATCTGCATGCGCGTGAACGATGTGCGCGGCTTTTTCCGCTTCGGCGGCGTCCGATTCTGGTACGGGTGGCCGATCCTCCGGGGTGGCACGGGAGGCATTGCGCTCGGCAGCCCGAATGGCACTACAGCCATGAGAAGAGGGAAAAAAAGAAAAAGCGAAAATTGAAACAATGTACCTCCCATGAAACGCTGCCATGCTGCGAGAAACGTTTAAGCACGAACGCACCAACCACAGTTCCTGAACAATCAGACAAAGGCACTATAAGCCTATACAAATTTTCTCTGACATATAATAGGCACGCACGCATAGCTGTGTCATCTACCCCAACTTCTAAACAAATTATAAACTAATCATATTATCAGCCGCAACAACAGCTGCTCTCCGAAAGTAATGAAGAGGCAAAGTCAAGCAAGGAAAACAGTGCTCGCGCAGAAGTCTCCAATGCAGTCTGTTGAAGCATGCGATACCAGACTTTTGGTGGGTGGGTCACGGCCAAAACCAGGACCATGCATGAGAATTTCTTTCCAATGCTCCGCCATCCTCGCCTCGAATCAGCACAGCTGACTGGGCTTCTCGTTAATATTCGATATAGCTCATAACCGGCCTCCGTAATAACAATAGCACTTTCGCTTGAAAACACGATTCGCGGTCATAGGAGCCGCTAAACACGTTGGATGTTCTGGTGTATTTGGTTTTCCCTCTTTTTTTCTATTTTGTTTTTGTCTCTATAATTGGTACATTATGGTGCTCCAACCTGCGGCAAATTGTATTACGTGGATTACAGTTCTCGAAGTATGATTAATAAATATGCATACTGAGTAAAAACAATGCGAGATAGTCTGAACAGGTTGCGTTCAGAACTGCGTTCGATTTGTCTTAGCTATTCAGTGCGCAATATTTCCCAAGTCTCGTTAAATTCTAAAATTCTAGAGAATAACGCTATGCATATACTGAATCGCATTGCACTGGGTTGAGTTGCCCAATTAGCCGCGAGTCACAGTTCGCTTCGTCCTCCTTCAAACTTCTCAATGTCCAAGGCTTCAGTGCAGTAAATGCGGCTCTGAGTTGACACAAGTGACCGCAGCGAATCACGGAACGGGAACTGTACCGTTGCTCAGAAGTACCTGTGTACCCTGCATTTGGAGATGAGAACACTTTGCACAGTTCGGAATTTAGGCCTAAGTTGTTGCGTGCTCGCTGGTCATCTCCCGGCTCTCCCAACCCTCGTCAGAATCTGTGTGCACGCTCAGCGACAAATGTGTCTATAAGCACGCGCACGTCTCCGGAGCCTGCATTGTTGACTAAATGGAAACTTGGCTGGCACTGTTTACGCCAATGGTAGACCTGTCTTATCAGACATGCATATATATTCCGCACACTCCCTACACGAGGCTCTTAATTGGGTTCCCGTGGCGTCAAATTCGAGGTCATATTTATTTCTTCCTTCTGCACACACGCGTGTATACGCGATGTTTCAATTGTACCGCAGACCGGGCACGGATTTATGATTTTTCGTAATTTTTTGTTGGTACCATTGGCGATGCTGGCTACACCACTTCTCTTTCGTAGCTCTAAAGAGAGAAATGAAAACATGCAAAACTGCCAATTTGTATAAAGCAACGTCTATCAAGCTGGTAAATTTTCTTTTCACAACTGCAATTTCATGAAATTGATGTAAGAAAGAAATTTCTATATTAACATACAGAAAGCGTAAAAAGACATGGCCTGTTGCATTGGAAAGCGAGACATCTGACTTCCAACAAATATGAACTTTTTTTTTTTTTACCGATGGAACTTGAACAACGCGTGTATGTCAAGTACGGGCTTCCGTAGAGGTCTCTGTCAATGATCAGGTATATATAGCAAACATATTGTGGGCTCCTGCACAATAAATGTGAATCGTAGTTAAACATTGCATAAGATTTCATTTATTTGCATGTGAACGCCACTCACTCATTCTTTTTCTGGGGAATGGGATGTAAGTAGGAATGTAATTGCCAAAATATATGAATTTCAGAATTATCAGCCACGTATGTATATAAAACTACCGAAACAAATCATTGTCACTCCTGCTGAAATGGTTGCCTGAATAAAGTCAAGCTCCTTACTTTTCGCTGTAACATGTTGTATTGTTTATGCCGAAAAATTTTGATTAATTGATGCTACATTACTAAACAAAATGAAGGTGTGACTTTTAATGACTCTTTCGGCGAACCACGACGTCGGTACGTTGCTTTGCCGTCAATGATTTGACAGTATTTTAAACTAGTTTGACCATTATGGCGCGAGAAAATCCTAGCAAATTGCGCCGTTGAGCATTTAGCTTCTTTGGAACGCAACAAAGCTATTTGGCGGTAAGCGCTGAACGACTTGACACGTGTGGGCTCTTTCAAAATGCAACATCAGTGGCCTTCTTTATCGGGAACTGCATGAAGGGCAGGGCGAGTCGAAACATTTCTTTCGTTGTTGCACCTTTTCAGGCTTACGAAGACTCATCTCGTGGTAAGTGTGACTGCTTGACTACTGTGTGAGAATAATTAATATAATATAACACGACTCATAGTTAAGTGGTCATTATACGGCACCTCTAAGGACCTAAAAATCTTGACCTTTTGCTTGTTCTCATAGAGTGTCCCAATAGTTTGACAATTCGATCTTGGCAAAGGGCGTGAGTACTGATTGAGCAGTTATTTGGATACTGTGTTGTAGTATAACTGCCTACTTGCGACTCTTTCCGTCGTAGTTTTTTTTGTTGTTGTTGTTGTTGCAAAAACCTACAACAAAATGCTACTTAATAAAGTTTCATTCGCGAAGACGTCGAATGAGGACACGTTGAGCGTTGTAAATCCTCACACGAATAAATGTTTATCTCACATTATGGACAGAAAATGATCGCATAATAAACGTGCTCTGTATTAATTGTTTTGTTCATCACAAGTATACTCCACTTACAGTACGTTTAGGTATATCCTAGGTCTGAGTTCGGGTTCGATCATTGCTTACGAAAGCTTAATTGCCGCTCTCCATCAACTGTACGCGTTATTTACATTTGTCACCGCGTACTTTGAAGGAAGGGGGGCGGGCGGAGCTAGAGAAAAGAAGCCATCCCACGACCGGGATTTCCCAAACAACAACTGGGGCACGTGAGGTATTGCTTTCAAAAACGTGACCTTCAACGTAAATATATGGTTGCCGAAAGCGCACCAGTCAGCACAGGTGTCAGTAAACTATATATATAAAAATCCATCTGATAGAAGTTGAGTAAAATTAAAATATCTGCAGCAAAATGTTGGCCGCTAGAGCTCGACAACGCTGAACTGATTAGTACCCTATGATAAGTACATTTACAAAGACAGTTGAATTGCATGAATATTTCAATTACTGAGACACCCGTATACATATAGGCATTCGGATAACGTGAAGTGGCATGGATATCCCTAAATATAGCTAAAGGAGTCGCAGCAGCGTCCTAACAAAGCATACACAGAATAGGGTAAGAGTTTAAAGGCGGTGATCCTAGTTACTGGAATTTGCAGTATGCATGCAGTGGTAGGTATATAGTGGCTACATCAGGATGCAGTTCTTGCTTGCGATTGTACATTCAGTTTTCTGCTGTTTTAGTTCTTCGTTTACTGTGGTAGAAAGGTAAATCGATGCTACATGGTAGAATACTGAGATTAATGCTAAAATCTCTAATTTCGATTTCGGGAGCCATTAGCGGGAGTCATTAAATAAACATTATCAATTGGACTCAAATCGAACGCATGTCCTCTTATTCGTCGGGACGAGAAGAGGGGTCTTCCCACGAAGCGCGTGTGCAGCAACGGAATCGACTCTGGCATTACACATCGTGCGACCCGACGAAGCGCGCACTCAAGGTGCACACGAGCGTGAATTGACCACCGCGGTTATACAGCAGCCGCGCCCAGCCGCGGGCTTCATCGTTTAGCATGCACGGCTCAGCGATTCGAGCCGCGCAAGGGCGGGAGAGACAGAGGGAGCGACGCGTCACACTGAACGCGGCTCTCGGTGCGCCCAGTTCCGACGTGCGTTCACCGCCCCTTGCCGTGGCGCGCTGGGTCCCCGAGTGCCAGGGCCGAGTAAAAACTCTGATTACTTGGAGTGCTTACCGCTCTTTCGGGCCCAAAAGAACAGCTTCGCGAAGTGGGTATCCACATTCAGACACCAGGGGGTGAGGGCGCGGAGGTGAGGGAACGAGCGACGGGACATGCGGGGCGAAGGGAGCAAAAGGCAACTACGAACAAAAGGCGTGCTTTGCCAGGAAGGAGGGGGGTAAAAGTGCCTGCGCTTGCGTCTGTTTTCCACCATTCCGTCCCGTCTCCCTCTCTTTCCAACATTCGCGTGGCGCGGCTGCATTTACAAGGCGGCGCCCGACTGCATACAAACTACGCCGGGCCATGCAAATAGGGAAGCCTTGCTCCCTGCGTGGCGCGATTTCGCAACCCTCGGCGCGCACGCCACCTCCTTTACGTTCTTTTTGTTTCCCCTTTCGGGACTCCGCTCGTTCGCCGGGCGGGCGAACACCCGCGCACACTGGCGTTGCGCGCAAAACAGGCACCCTCCCCTAAATGGATCCACAATGGTAATGGATACGGACAGCTCTTGAAATTAAATAGCACTGCTCTCGATATTTTTCTCGACCTGGCTCGTGCGCGATTTCAGAAAGCGGCAGTAAATCGGTGAAGCGAGGAGGAGAGGCTAAGGGCTACAAGTGCTGTCCATGCTGAGAGCTATAGGGCCACCGAATAGAGGGAAGAAGAAATAGAAAAATAAGAGCGAGCACGAACGAATGTTACGCAGGCGCGCAATTTGCATATCGCGGGGTATGTGTTTCTGCGGTGTTGGGAAGAAGTAGCGGCTGCTTTCTTCGGTGGACTGCACCGAGACGTCCGCTTCGACCAATAAAAGAGCGTTATGCACACCCTCTAAGTTCACTTGCTTCCGTTTCTGTTCTGCCAAGATAGAAGATAAAGAAGAGGAGGACACTTAGGCAGTCGACCGGCAATCTGAGGTGGGAAGAGCGCTTCCCGAGCTTCAAGAGTGTATAACGGAGCGTGCCTGCAGTGCCTCGCATGTGGCTGATTGTGCGAATGTAAAGAG